GCAACTCAGAAGGGTGTGACTCACTGCTTACTGAGTACCGCACAGATCTTAGGAGGCCATTATTCTGAGCTATCTCATCCTTAGGACCCCCCCAACCACCACCACCACCAGGGCTGGGACCCAGGACTGGCCTATCCAGGGGCTGTGGTTATGTGTCACTAGACTGAGTCAGACCCCTTAGTTGGAACAATTGCTCTGTCACTTAATGGATGAGGTCAACTCCTCTGAGTCACAGGGTCTTAACTTGTAAATTGGAACTAACAGCACCTCCTTCTCCAGGTCAGGTCGTTGTGGGAAATAAATGTGCTAATCTGTCAAATGCTTGAATGAGAATAGCCTTAGTTGCTCAGTATCTATTGAAATCCAGAGTTTTTCAGGCCATGTTAGGGCAGGGGCCCAGTGCAGGTCTGAATATAGATGAAGCAGTGACTAGAGCAGCTCCTGTCCCTAGTTCCTTCTAGACGTGGGCTAGCCCTGAAGGCCAGCCATGTCAGTGGAATGTGGCTGGTCAATCCTACCACTCACTGCCTCTGGGATCTGTCCTCTCATCCCATAGCAAGTGACAGGAGGCAAAGTTTTCTCTCTCTGTGCACACACATACACACGCTTGAAAGTTTACAGTCCTCTCAAGCATGCTGGACATTTTGGCACTGTTTCAGAAAGGTGACTGTGTCTACATCTATAAATAGTGACAACAGGTCTTATCCTTTTGCCCACATCCTCCTACCACTCTGTCCCCCCCATGCACCCACCTCATCCCATCTGGAAGATAGTAGCATGTTCTCCATTCACATGCACAGTAAACCAACAAAGGAGGTTCTGTCCCAGCAAGGGAGAGGTCTGCCCCTTCATGGAAGGGCAGGATGTCCAGTTCTGGGAGGATATTATTAAGTCCATTTGGCCAGTGAGCAAAACCTTTATCAGTAATATTGGTAAAGACACCATTTTGATGTCGGTATGTCTCTTGTATCCTATTTCTCAATCTGTTCTGAACTTAAGAGAGGGAGAAATACCTACTGACCTGTTCGGTTCTTGTTATTGCAGTCACCTCTCCCTGCCCACCCTGACCTTCTCCCTCTTATCTAATCACCCACCATGTGTTTAATGCCTACTTTAGGCCAGTTCCTAAAGATGAGTAAGAGTTCATGTCTGCCCTGAAGGAACTCTGGTGAGGAAGGCAGACTCATAAATGTAAACCATAGATTAAGCTGTTCAAACCAAGTGCTTGGGGTTCAGAGCTCATGACCCATTCTGGAACTTTAAGAGGAGTTATGTCTCTATCTCCAGATAGGTGCAGCACTGTGGCAGATTCTCTCTGATAGGGGTATGGGATGTGAAAGAGCTTTTCTGAATGGAGGGAGAGGGAAAAAGAGGAAGAGGAGTCCGTCAGCACAGGCCGATGGCTTCTGGTTGGCAGGTGTAAAACCTGGAGTGAGGCTTCTCAAGGCCTGGTGCCTCCACACCCCTTCACCCCCATCTAGTGATGGTTGGATGGGAGGTCTCCAAGTCTTCTAGTGTTAGTCTTCTAGTGCTAACACTCTAGTCTGTCACTGTTGACATCACAGGTCCATATTTGGAGACTTCCTGGAGATTCTCCAGCAGGGTTCCTAGGTTCTTTTCTCCTTATTCTCCCCTCCACAGTCAGGAGGGTGGTTCTTGATCTGGGAAGGCTCTAGGTCCTAGGCTCACCAATGTGGTTCAAGGGAGGTACCCTGGTGGCCACAGAAAACCTTTGTTGAGTGGTTTAGCACCAGGACAGGGTGAGGAGAGTAAGGAGAAGGTCAAGGAGTGAGATTTAGCCTACCCTTCTCTAAAACCAAATGTGGTAGATGGAGTGGGCAAGGCATGATGAACACAGTGGGAGGAAGGTTGGCAGTGGTCCTTCAGGGCAGCAAGTACAGGAGGGCTGATCCCAAGGAAAGAGTTGAAACTCTCTGGATCTGTCCTGTTCTCTGCTCACAAACCTGCCAGCTCCTTTCCTTTTTATTTCACCTCAATGGCTGACAAACTCCAGATTACCTGAGAATCGAGACCAACCAGCCCGAGTTCCCCCTTCCCTCCTGGGCCTCATCTCAGGAATCCCTTGTCTCCCATCTGTTCTCCCAATCTCTGGTCTCCCCCTCCTCCCCACTAGTGCCAGGCCTTGTTCACAAGACCAGTCTTCCTTTTCCAGAGGGATCTGATAACAATTAAGAGTCCCTAACAGTCACAGATGTTTCCTACGCTGCTAAGTGCTTTACATTTAATCAGATTTCTCCCCATCTTCACACCCATCCTCTGTGCTTCCCTAAAAACCTGAGTTTTCACCTGCTCTAATTCCTAAATTTTCTCCATTTCTATTCTGCTAGCATGTCCCAAGATTCCAACAGATGCTGCCATACTCTACATAAACCCTTTGCAGTCTGTATCCTCTAAATAATGTTCCTGGAGTAATCTGAAACTTTTAAACCTCTCCAAATCATTCTCTGGCCCCTAATCTGCACCAAGCCACAACAGTGTCTCCCCCTTCCTTTCCATTCTATACAGGTCCCTGAATAGAATACAGGTTTTCTTCACCCCTGGGAATTCAGCCAGTTTCATGATTTCACATGTCCTTTCTATACCCAAGACTGGGCCAATGTTCTCAACCCCTCAGTCCCAATCATCCCAAAGTTCAGCCCTTCCCCATGTCCTTACCCTCCACAGAGTACCTCTACCACCTGAAGCACACCTCCCATGAGCATGGCTCTCTTACACAGATACCCCAAGGTGTGCCAAAAACAATGCGGTAGGGCTCAGAAGACCTGCCACAGTTCAATCTTCTATGGGATCACCTTGCACCAATGAGTGGTTTCTTCTCAGTGGGCCTGTTTTCCTCCTGCATGATGGGACAGTAAGCCTAACCCACAGGGTGTTGTAATTATCATGTGTAAAAACACAATGCAATTAGTCTCCTTTTCTAGCTTATCTGCCATACAGCACCACCCCTACCTCTGGAGAGCTCTGTAATTGCTCTACTTCTTCAGCACCTGATGCATCAAGTCCTGGTGATTTTTTTTTCTTCGAAATGTTTGTGGGATCTGAACTTCCATTTAAATTCCTACTACTATTCCCAGGATTCCAAGCCTAGATGGCTAAACTCTTCCCACTAGATCAATCTTTACTGGCCACCACTATGCATTTCTGCTCCCATCAAGCCAGAATCTTCATTGACAATGATCAGTGGCTCCCTGTTGCCTTTCCAGGCTAGCCCCATTCATAGCCCCCTCCCCTTTTTTTTTGGCAGTACTGGGATTTCAACTCAGGGCCTATACCTTGAGCCACTCTACTAGCCTTTTTTTGTGTTGGGTGTTTTCAAGAGCCCACAAATTATTTGCCCCGGTTGGCTTTGAACCACAATCCTCCTGATCTCTTCCTTCTGAGTAGCTAGGATTACAAGGGTGAGCCACTAGAGCCCGGCCATTCATGACCATTTGATCTCTGTAACCGACCTTCCTTAGCAATCAATGTCACTGATCTACTTCAGTCTGAAGAGCTTGCTGTTCCATGCCTTCTGGGCAGCCTCTCACTCCTCTGCATTCCATTTCCCTAAACCTTGCCTGTTCTTTTTGTTTTAATTGCCTTCAAGGCTCTCCTCATTTCTAACTCCCTTGTGATCTTCCCAGGTAGGTGGGTAGGTGCACTCATCCCATGTGGCTAGAATACTGCTTTAGGTTTCTTTTTTCTTCTTAAATATAGCACCTTCTTCCATCTAGAACTAAAAGTGGAGGGCTTGGGTGTTAGAGTCACATGAAGTCTGCACACAGGGTAAATATGTGTCTTTCTGAGTTTCTGTTTCCCTCAGCTATAATATGAATTTAAAACCTCACATGACTGTCATTGAGGATTAAATGAGATAGTAACACCGATTGTATCTGGCACAAAACAGAAATTAAATAGCAATTATTTATTATTTTAAAAATTTTAGGTAAAACTGAAATCTTAGAGGTACTGTTCACTATACTGTTCAGTGTTTCTTATTTGAAAACCTCTATAATGCATGTCTCTGAAAAGTAAGGAAAATGCTTTTGATGAATTAAACTTCCTTTTATGTGAATGGATTAACTACATAAAAGCTTTAAAGTTATTAAGCCTTTTGCTTTTTCACCTTCAACTGCCAGGAAGCTCAGAGCAAGGTTTTATAGCCAACTACAGATTTCCTCGTTCACCAGAGGGAGGTACTGTGGTTTAGAGAAAGAGCAGGGGTCCTGGGGCTGGACAACTCTGAGCCTTACTCCCCTCACTTGTGGAAAAGGGTTAGTAAAAATGAGGATAACACCTATTTTACAGTACTGTGGTGAGATAATGCATTAAAATTTTTATAAATTACCAAAAAATCACATGTAAGTTGGTGATTAGCAGTCTTGTTTACTAATTATTTTCCCCTCTCTTCCCTCATATACTTGGATTTTCTCTCTCAGACCTTAGTTTATAATACTTTTAGTTTTATTACAACTGTGCCTCTTAAATGACAAAATTATTCCTAAAGAGTAATCTCCCTGGAGGCAAGAAATCATGTCCTGCACTTGTTTTGTATAATTACAATTTATATTAGAAAAACATTTAGCTGCAGTTTTTGGTTCCTACGCTTAATATCTTAGTATTACTGTTAAAATAAGAGGAACTGTAGGTTGGACTGGCTCCAGAAAGGAGCTTTTGTTGGACTGATGACCAGTGATGATTTAGTCATTCATTTGTCCTTTTATTTACCAATGTAAACGTGATGCTGTCTGTGAGCCAGGTACTCTGCTGAGCACTGGAAAAACTAAGGTAACCCACTCCAATACAGCATGGACTCTGCTTGGAAGCAGCTCACAGTGGAGTATGGGAGGCGGATATGAAAATAATCACCTCAGTGTTGCAAGGCAGGTGTAAAGTAAGCAGAGAACACTGCAAAGAGTACCTTGGAAAGCTGGACAGTGTACTTGGGTATGGGGATGGGGCAGGGGAAGTGATGCTTGAGAGAGTTTGGGATTTCTTTAGTTAGCAGTGGGATGGATGAATTAGCAGCATGGTCACTTCAGGTAACCTCAAGTGGTTCAGTTTGCTCAGGGAAGAAACCATTTAGAGACCCATAAAAACAGGCGGCAATAGAGGCAGGGGTCAAACAAAGAGCCTGTTGCCTCCAAAGTACCTGGATATTACCTTGATGGGGAGGGGGATTGGCACAGTTAGTGACAGATGCTTATGGTGATAATGAGAGGGCTTTGGTACATCACAGACATGACAGGTCCAATATGGCTTTCATATATGGCTCCATGTTAAAAGCTGGATATAGGTTCTGCAACAAAGACCATCTATCTGTTGCTGGAGGGAGTCAGCCCAGGTCTGCATGAACACAGGCCATCTGGGATGCTAAGAAGGGCAGTCAACCCTGGACCAGGGTTGACTCTAGTGACCTTTAAAGTTCCTTCCAAGTTTGAGGTTTCAGGATTCTAAAGCAAGCCCAGTAGCTAAACTAGAGCTGTGGGCTAGGATCTGTGGCTAGGGAGCTGCCCTGGGCAGCAAACGAGTAAACGCTCAAATAACTTTTATATATGAATTAATGTGCAGCGTTGGGAGCCAAAATCCGTTCCATTAATTTTTCCATCCATTCCAGGAGCAGTTAGGTACACACAGTAAAGTTTATTTTGGTGCATGGTATACTTCACTCCATTAAAAATAAATTAATCAGCAAATTCCTGCCTGGCTCAGCTCTGGTTTATGTAAATAATGCCCAGCTGTAATGAGTTACAAGGTGTTATTATCTTACACACACAGAGGAGGCTTCACTCTAGAGCTCCGCTTGCAACAAAAGCATTTTAAATAAACTGAGAGGAGGCGGTTTGATTTGTAATGTTTTCACAGAAGTGGGATATACCTCACCCGTATAGAGTTTCTTTGTATGACTCATTTTATAGCAAGTTCAATGAAGGAAGTTTGATGGGGGAGGGAGGGGCAAGGAGGTTCCCCGCCCCCTTTCTTCAATTTAAGAAAATCCCCCAAGAGATGACCCACACTCTGAGTCGGGAGGGGAACTGGGTCCTCAAGTTCTCAGACCAGGTAGCTCTGTAACACATGCTCCAGAAGTTGAAGAGAAAGTAGAAAGCTGGGCACAGGACTGGGTCCTGGGACAGTACATCTAAGCCAGAATAATGTTCTTTTCGCTAAGTATCTCATATAAGGAGAGGCCAAAAGAGGAAAGACATGTTTCTTGTCCAGTTCACTGGGGGTGACAAAGGGACCTTTGTTTCTGAGGCCTCTTTCTAAATGACTTAGGATATGACAAGCCCCTTGGCCTTCAAAGGCTCCCTAGGTTTCAGAGGATATGCTTTGTAGGCTGTGCCTGGGTCAGATGGTGACACCTCTCTGTGCACCTGAGGTAAGCACAGCAACAGAGATCCTCTGACCTATTCTTCTCCCTGTCTCTAACTGAGCTGGGCATTGCTCCTTAGCTTGTGACATCCACCATCTCACCTAAGTTCCTAAAAGATTCTGCAGTAAAGAAGAGCTGTGGCAGAGATAAGTCTCTGTTTCTTTTAATGACCAACTCAACCCCATGGCTCAAAGTCAGAGGACAGTGTGCTTACCCATCTTGACTCAACAGAATAAAAACTGCTCCTAGGCACAGCAGGCCTAGGTGGAGCAGTCCCCTTAAAAGCTGTCAGTCACATACACTTGCTGGAGGGACTTGAGGAGTGTATGCTGGGAAGCTCTTGCTTGGGACTATTCTTGAGGGAGAGGACACCTCAGAAGAGCTGGGGTTCTCTCATCACTGTGCCCCCACCAGATCAGACTCCTGGGCACAGGAGAAGAAACTTAACACAATGGGACCAGATATTTGACAGTTGCTGTTCAAAGGTCAGTTCAGGACCCTTTCTATGGGATCCTGGACCAAACAGGCAATTCTCTGACCAAGGGTCCTCAAAACCAGCTGGCCAACTGTCCAGAGAGACTGGCCCTCAAAGACCCTCATCATTATAAGTGGGAGCACGAGGTGTCAGGATGCTCTGTGGATTCTTCTCCACCAGAGGACGCCATCTCACTTCTCCTGTCAGAAGGAGATCTTCACCATCCATGGAGTCCAGGTACTGCATCTGCAGCCATGAGAGCAGAGAATGGGATAGATGAAGGACATTAAGTGAGGTGACACCAACTTCCCCAAGAACAGGAAAGAGAGGGAAGGATGGAGGGCTCCTGGCCAGAGTTCCCTGATTTCCCAGATTACTTCATTAAGGAGAGATGGGGAAAAAATTGCTGTGGAAACTCATTGAGGTTTTAGGGACTTCCCTTCACACCTCTATTTTCCCTTCACACACACACGCACCACACACATGTAACACACCATCCCCACCAACCACACATCTCCCCCCTGCTGCACCCTCCCTTGCACTCCATACAGTGCTGCTGGGAGAACAAGCCTGTCCTCATGGAAAGATTAAATGATAAGGCATATGTGCTAGTCACTCCAACTATTTTTTCTAATATATGCACCTCCACTGTCCTCCTTTGGGCCCAGTTTCCCCCACAGAATGGTTGGGCGAGTCCATCCCTGATAACTCTGCTGCTTAAAATGGTTGTCATCCCAGAGACACCCCTGCCTGCTGCTCTGCTATGACTTTCACCAGTGATCCTCACTGTGCCTACTGAAACTAGGGGGACCAAGTGGCATATCTTCCTGCTCCCCACAATTGGCAGATGTTCTGACATCTGGATTCAGTGGTCATGTCCCCTCTAGGCTTTCTCCCATTTGCACATCCAGCCGATGTATTATGGAAAGAATGAATTCCAGAGCTGTTGCCCTAGGCAACACCAGGCTCCTGGGTGCTCTCAGATCTATTAAGGAATTTAGGCGCATAACTCCTTGTGCAGAGAGTCACCTATGATACAGACAAATGGAAACAATTGCAGAGGTGTGTGTGTGGCGGGGGGTCAGTTTTGCAAGAAGCAGGTGAGCTAAGGAGCAGCTGAGCCTCAGAGAGCAGAGAACACCTCTGGAGGATCCTCAGGCTGCCTGCGAGTAGAGGGGGCAGCAAATGAGAAATGCTCACAAGTGGACAGGCAAAGTCACCAAGTGGATCAGAGCAGGAGTTAGCACTGGATCCAGAAAGATGAGGCTCTCTCAGAGGGAGAGGATGGAATACCCTGGGCTTCATCTTAGGTCTTTGATCATCCCTTCTTCCAAGAACTCATCACTCTTTCTTCTTCTATCTTTAGGCTATTGCTCCTTGACCTCAACCTCAGTCTCTTACAAATATCTCAAGTCTAGCTTTCCATATGCCCTGCATCTCTTCTAGGGTAAGAAATTCAACAATGCCATTTCTACCCCAAACATCTCCTGGACTGCAAACTTCAACATAAACTCTGACTGGTTACCAGGCTGCATCAGGTATAGGACTACTCTGTCCAGCTTCCTGGCCTCCCCGATCCACTCAGTCAGAATGCACCTCTCTTTCCCTGGCCTTCCTAGTGCTCTGTCCTACATGGATTAAATCACAGACTGGCTGGCTCTGCACTTGCCTGGCTCCCTGAGGGCAGGATTGGACTTCATTAATCTCTGTTCCTCCAGCACAACACCTGGCTTAAAGGCTTACTGACAGAAGTGGGTCCCCATCAAAGCTCCCTGTTTTTCCTAAGAGCCCCATCACTGCCCAGCTCTAAGTGGGGCAATGAGACTTCTTACAGGGATATTAGTTGTGGCAGTCACATTCCTTCTGGGCCCCTGGAGAGGTCCCAGCTGTTCCTTGTTGTGGCCTCTGGCACAAACAAACAATGGTAGATGGAAAAGCTGGGTAAGTCTCTCTGAAAACAGCATTTGCTTTGCCGATTGCTCCTCCTGTCTGAAGTCAAATCCAGGCAACAGTGTGGATCTCAGAATTCTCTTTGGGAGGAGCCCTTTGGCCACAGTGCTTTCTCCCTGGCTTTGACAGATTTGAAGAATGGTCCAATGAGAGTCCTGGCTTCTGGGGGTCTTTACCCTCTGTATCTGAGGAACCTCAAGATGTCACTTTTCCATCAATCAACTAGCTAGTCCTACTGGCCTCATGTGCTCAAGAGCTAAGGTCTGTCCTTCCTTTATTTAGCTGTTGGAGGCTTGGAGGCCACAGATACAGGTGAACAAGAGAATAACTGTGGGGTGAGGCTCCTTTAACCCCAAGTCCAGGTCCATGAAACAAAGGTGTGATTCATGGACAACCCAAGCTGACGAGCTGTTGATAGCAGCTGAGATCTCTAATGGCTACATGAATCACCCAGCTTGGGGTCTGAGGCCAGCTGTGCAAGATGACTCACTAAGAGACCCTGGAAAAGCCTCCATGTTCCTCCTCCTTGTCACTTAGCCCATTCATCTAGAAAGCATGAGTTTCCCATCAATACAGATCTGGGGTAAGAAATCAGGAGTTAGTTTTGCATGGGCTGGAGAAAGCCATGTGCTTCAGTAGTCCTTGCTGTGAGGTTCCTTCTGGCTTTGGTGTCAGGGAGCCCTGGGGAGTCAGAGGGGTGAAACCTGAAGTTGGGGGACCCTACTTGACTGTGGAGAGCTGTCAGTTGGGAAAGGATGACAGGTGGTGTCTCTGGAAGTCAGTAGTAGGGAGTGAATTTATAAGTGGGCCCAAAAGGTAGTCTTACAGTGGCTGCTCCACTGTGCCCTATACTTGTATCTCCTAGGACTCTGCGGGATCAGTACCTAGCACAGTACCTGTCACACAGTAGGAAATGAAATGTGTAGTGAATGAATGACTACAGCTTTCTGAAAGCAGAAGGCTACTCAGTACCTATGCCTCTCTAGCCCCATTCCTTTGACCCTTGGCCAACCTCCTGGCTGGACACATAAAAAGCACTCATTTTCCATCGATATCTGTTGATATAATCAGGTCAGTATTCCCTCAGACTGGCCCCTGAAAACTCAGGAGAACCCACTTTCCATAAGACTCTGTGTGTGGTGGAAGGGGAGTTGCTTACCTGTTTTCTTACATATTCTACCAGCAACTCAAGCTGTCGGGGATCTTCACATTTCTGGTTGAAGAAGGTTCTCCAGAGGGCAGCAGCCAGCCCATGATCATCTGAAAGGATCCCCTGAAACAGAGAGTACAACTGGTCTGCCAGGGAGTACCGCAGAGCCATGATGCAAAAGCTGGGGATTTTTCTTTCTTTCTTTTTTGTTTGGTGGTACTGGGGTTTGAATCAGGGCCTCACATTGCTAGGCAGACGCTCTACCAATTTAGTCACTCTGCTAGTCCTGTTTTTGTGTTGGGTTTTTTTGAGATAGGGTCTTACAAACTATTTGCCTGGGGCTTCCTTTGAACTATGAATCTCCTGATCTCTACCACCTGAATAGCTAGATTACAGGTGTGAGCCACCAGCCCCCAGCCAAGATGGGGATACTGTGACATGACAGCAAACAAAGAACTGGCCCAGAAGTACCTCACCAATACTGTGAGAGGGAAATGGGGCAGTTATATGACAGGGCTGAAAGGGGGCTTATGAAAGTGTCTGGCTCAACCCCTTCATTTTATACAGAGGAAAAACATGGGACTCAGAAAGGCCACATCACTGGCTGAGGTAATACAGAGATGGGACTCATGTTTGATGGACCTTCCCAGGTCCAGTTCCCTCTTCTCTACCACACTGTACCTGGCCCAAGCAACATTTGAGAGGCCAAGAAGAGAAATGAGCATGGGTTGGCAGTACTGTGAGTCTGTTTTTTTGGGAATGGAGGCAGGCATGGACTGTGCCTTCTTGCTTGACCCAAGGGCACAAATCTGCAAGGCAGCTGGCTCTTTAGGAAATGCAGCTAGGTATCTTGCCTTCCCTATCACTCATCTCTGGGCTGGCCATGACTGTGCTAGCATATCCTTAAATATAGGAAAACAAGCTGTTCAGCAAGATTGCGTAGGGCCTGTGTATGTGTGTATCTGACATTGCCCCTCCTGGCACTGAGGACCCTGTTGAGAAGCCCAGATATCAGAGAGGCTAAGCAGAGAGCCATTTTCTAGCTCAGACCTCTAGGTGAGAGAGGATGAGGGTGATTGAAGGGAAAGGCCCTGAGAAGTTGCTCTTCCTGGAAGCCAAGTTATTTTGTGGAACCAAAGTGCTGACTTGGAGTTAGAAAGCTGGATCAAGTCCTACTTCTGCCACTACCAAGCTCAACTGTGGTGGTTAAACCTGAGTCTCCAACTTCTCAGCTATTAAAAGAAATGAAGGGACAGAGGCTGAGATCAGGAGGATCGTAGTTCAAGATTACCACAGGCAAATAGTTCACGAGAACCCCATCTCCAAAATAACTAGATCAAAATGGACTGGAGGTGTGGCTCAAGCAGCAGAGTGCCTGTTTTGCAAATGCAAAGCCTTGAGTTCAAACACCAGTCCCACCAGAAAATAAAAACCAAACAAACCAAAAAACAAGCTAATAATTCCTACACCACAAAGCTGTGAACATTAAGAGACAATAGCCATGAAAGGTTCTTTAAGTGATAAACATTACAAAGGCCAAGCAGCATTTTTTGACATTGTAGGACAGTCTTGGGTATTGTAGCATATGAGGTCTGAATCCAGGCCCACTGCCAAGAAAGGCCATGTTCAGTGTAAGGAGGTGACAGTTTGGGTGAAAAGCATTCCACTTGCTGCAGACACCTTATGCTAAATAACTGCACAGTTCCACAGCTGAAGACTGTACTGGCATAATGGCTAAGTTGGGAAAACCCATTTCTTCTAGCAGATGGCAATAGAAGCCAAGGACAAGTTCAAGCACATCGTCATTCTCTAAGCTATTTGCTAACACAACAGCCTGCCTATGTTTGAAGTGCCCTAGGTACAGGCTGGAATGCTACTGGCAATGATCTATATGTGTAGCATGGGAAGGACTAAGAGACAGAGTAGGTGTCATAAGGGCTTGGAGAATGAGCAGAACCCAAGTCAGGAAAAGCCTGTCAACCATGGCTTGCTGCAAATATACAGCCTTGGTGGAAGGTGAAATGGCTGTGAGGGGATGGGACAAATCTATAAGCAGGAGTTCCTGAGCAGTCAGAGGGAAAAGAAGGACCAGGACAAGTTAGCAGTGCTAACAACCTGACTGTTCCAGACTGTCTGGGTTTCTTTACACAGCAGTGCCTAATGACTACATAGGCCATGCCGCACAGGTATTATTACCTTATGGTGAAAGATAAGTACTGAGACTCAGAGGTTGGCTGGCTAACTGGTGGTAGAAGCAAAACAAGCCTGCACTTCCAAGGTCAGGATGGTAACTACTTAGCTCTAGGCATGACACAGTCTCTGGAACACAGTGCCAATGCACTGGAAATGGCTACATTGATAATCGAACCCAGCTGCAGCCTTCTTTCCACTAGACTGCTAGTAACTCATGAAAACAAATGGAAGACTTGTCTGAGAATGCAAATTTCAATGTAAGAAAGCAGAAAAGGAAACAGGGTACCTAGAGGCTAAACATTAGGTTGCAAGACAACTTTCACACAATCTAATGGTGAGCCTACTTGTTTTCATCATGATACAAAGTCTAGATGAACTGAGAGGAAACTGAGGTACTGTCCTGGCACTAGAGGGTCTGGTTATGGTAATGGGTTTAGAGTGGCAGAGTTTCACTCAGTGAAGACTGATTTGACACCATTATGTGCTTAGCATGATGCTAAAAACAGAATTATAGTAACATGGGCTGAGCTCTCAGTGAGCTTACAATCTAGAGGGACAAAGCTAGTGCACATCAAATCAGCACACAACACAATCCCAAACAAAATCCTAAACTGCACTGTGAGACCCCAAGCTATGTGCTGCACATGCCTCCTCATTTCTCAGTCTTCACTAGTGTTATAAGTCCTCAGAGACACCCTTCTGCTTCACCCTAAATAATACTCCTATTATTCTTCATCACTGCACTCTATTTGTAATTAGACATTTATTTTTTGTCTCCTTGTTACTCGTTTGTTGTCCATCTCTCAATTAGAAGAGAGAAGCTAAGTTTAGTCAGGTGTGGCATCTGTCTTCCCAGCTATGCAGGAAGCATAAATAGGAGGATCGAAGTCCATGTCATCCTGGGCATAAAAGTGAGACCTTATTCGGAAAACAACCTTCATTGTTTTTAAGTGGTAGAGTGCCAGCCTAGCAAGTGGAAGGCCCTGAGTTCAAATCACAATACCGCCACTGCCACCAAAAAAAAAAAAAAAAAAGAGGAGGAGGAGGAAGAGGAGGAAAGTTTAGTGGTAAAGAGCCAGACCATGTCTGTTTGATTCACTTGATATATTCCTAACACATCTCACATGACAGACATTCAATAAAGTTATTTTTTCTCCACATAAGCATAAGAGAACTAAGAGGTAAGGGAAAGGTGTGGAGAAGCAGGCTTTTAGGAATGAGGGGATGTGAAAGGGCTTTAGGACATTCTAAGCAAGAGAGAATATTAATGCATTAAATACACACAGAATGCTCTACAAGGTGCCAGGTCCTGAACCTGGCTCTGAGGCACCAAGCTGACCTTAGCTACTGCCTTCAACACCTTGTGTCCAGGACAGTCTTACTCACTCCCGTGTGTTTGCACAGCAGAGAGGCAAATGACCTCCCCTGGAGGGTAAGCAATGGGAGAGAAAGCATACAAAAGCAGGAACAGGGGCTGTTGGTATAGCTAAAGTGATAGAGAGCTTGCCTAGCAAGCAATTTGACTTCATAAAAGTAGAAAAGTAGGAAAGTTCCAAAAGTTTCCAGAGAAAAGGCATAATGTAAGCAAGAATGTAGAAAGAGGATGCTGAAGAACAGAACTTTCTGTGATAATGAAATGTTCTGTATTGGCACTGTCCATTATAGTGGCCTCTAGCCATATACTGTTAGTGAGCACCTAACATAAGGCTAGCAATGAGGAGCTGAATTTAATTTTTATTTATTTATTTATTTTGTGGTACTGGGGTTTGAACTCAGGGTCTCATGCTTGTAGGTAGGCACTCTACCACTTGAACCACTCACTAGCCCTTTTTTGTGTTGAATATTTGTAAGATAGGGTCTAGCAAAATATTTGTCTGGGCTGGCCCTGAATTGTGACTGTGATCCCCTGATATCCGCGTCCCAAGTAGCTAGGATTACAATGTACAGTCCCCAGCTGTATTTTTAATTTTACTTAAATAATTTAGAGAAGTTTTATTTTGTTTTCTTTTAGTGCTGGGGATGAACCCAGGGCCTTACACATGCTAGGCAAACATTCTACCACTGAGCTACATCCTCAACCCCTTATTTAAATCAAAATAGTAGCATATACCTAGTACTGGACAGTTCTAGAATCTTGTGATTCCAAAAGTGATCTGCAAAATGGCTGCACCGACATCACTTGTACCTTGTTAGCTATGCGGTATCTCGGGACCCATCTCAGATTTGCTGAGTCTAAAGGTGAATTCTGCCTTAGTTGCTAGGTGATTTGAATGTACTTCAAAATTTAAGAAAACTTCTAGAATCACACATTTAAATCATCTGGGATCTTTTACAGATGCCCACCCACACCAATTAAATCAGAATCTTTGGGGACAAGAACCAGACACTAGAAAGTGTTCCAGGTAACTAGCTATTTCCCAAACTTTTTAACTCACAAGTTTGTCACTTGGGTGCTTGCTGAAGACTCAGCCAGCACTCTTCCTGGAATGAGTCTTCAAAGGGGCTGGGAATTAGAAATTAAAAGTACCCCATGCTACTTCTTTGATTGGTCATGTTCAGGTAAAATGGCTCTGCCAGAATGGACAAGGGTGAGGGACAGAGAAGAAACATAATTCTATACATCTTATTAATACTGATGAAAGAAATCAACTGAGCCAACAGTTATCTGCAAGAGACCACAAACAAATACTAAGCCTCATTCTTTTATATATTGTAGAGTTTCTGAAATCAGACTACATCTAATTTAACAACTGATATGTACATTTAAGCAATGTTTCTCAATTCCCATTCCACTGCCAAAAAGTTGTTAAATTAGTGATGTTTGTATTATGTATAATCTAACTAAATTGCTTTCTTATGATTGAGGATAGTTAGTAAACTGAGAATTAGAAGAGCGCAATTTTAATTATTTCCATGACCCTAAGCATGTCATTTCAATTAATTTATTTTTGTGGTACTGGGGACTGAACCCAGTGCTTTATGTGTGCTAGGCAAGCAGTCTACCACTTGGGCTATGTCCCATTCCTTTTTTGGTTTTGTTTTTATTTTGCTTTTGAGACATTTTTGAGACACCATTGCTTTTGCCTGGGCTGTTCTCAAACTCACAATCCTCCTGCCTCTACCTCAGCCCCCAGCAGCTGGGATTATACCACCATACCTGGCTATGTTCTGTTTTTTTCTCCCTCTCCTTTCTCCTTCCTTCCTTCCTTTCTGTTTTTGGTGGTACTGGTGTTTGAACTCAGAGCCTCACACTTGCTAGGCAGGTGCTCTACCACTTGAGCCACTCTGGCAGTTCTTTTGCATTGAGTATTTTCGAGATAGCATCTCACAAACTATTTGCCTGGACTGGCTTCAAACCACGATTCTCCTGATTTTCTCTGGCTTGTGAATAGCTAGGATTACAAGTATGAGCTACTGCCCTCCTGGTTTTAATTTCTGTCTTCATACTAGTAAAAATTCCTCCAGCCTGAACTCTAGTTTCTTACTTTCATCCCTTTGTGCATATCCTCCCTTCCTCACTGATCACCTATTACATGCTAAGCACTATGCTAGGTAGCAAAAATATACATGGTAGGCACTGTCACTTCCCAGAAGAAATCTCCAGCCAGCTAGGGTGATAATGCTGTGAGAGAACAGGGAAGGGAGAATGAGCTAAGCCTGGGGAAGTTCGGGGACCACTTCTCAGGAGAGTGATGCTTGTATTAAATCTGGAGGTAAGCACAAAATGAGTTTAGAAGCACATGGAAGAAAAGGTGAACCTTGGTGGTATACACACAGGTGTTCACAAATAAAGTTTTCCTTATGCATGAAATAGCCATAATAAAAGTTCTGAGGAAAAGATGAGATAGATACTATAAATGAACATTAAAGACATTCTGCAATGTGAAATAAGCCAGTCATAAAAGAACAAATATTCTAAGGTTTCTACAGTAGTCAAATTCTTAGAGAAAGAAAGTAAAGTGAAGGTTGCCAGGGTCTGGGGAAATGGGGAGTCAGTGTGCAATGCGTACAGAGTTTCAGTTTGGGAAGACTGATGCCCAAGATAATTCACTCAGTGAACAAAGCAAGTTGGAGAACAGTGTGTATAGCAGAGCACCTCCTTTTCCTCATAACAAGGAAAAGCTAATGCTTGCATATGTGCAAATAACATCTGGAAGGACATCTAATAAACTATGAATGAAGTTTTCTCCTGCAGCAGGGAAGTGGGCATGAGGGGAAAGGGGCGTTCTATTTTCTATTTCAATCAGTTATGGACAGTTTTATGAACTTTAAAAAAAAAAATGTGTAATTTGTCTGACATTCTGTGCTGCTTACATGTGACTGTCTTCCTCGCCCTGGAAGCACCTGGGGCTGAGACACTGTCTGATCTGCCTTTGTCCCTCCATCCAGCACCCAGCAGGCACTCAACAAATGCTGACTAGTTAAATGATGTGACTATATTATGTAGTGCTCTCTTTCACAAGAACTGGCAAGCCAGTCAATGAAGATGAAGAAATAAATACTAAGCCATAAAGGCAGGCAGTGAAGATGGAAACTTCCTTCAGACACGGTCATCAAAAGACTTTGTTGGGGCCAGGCACCAGTGGCTCACACCTGTAATCCTAGCTACTCAGGAGGCAGAGATCAGGAGTACTGAGGTTTGAAGCCAGTCCCTGGCAAATAGTCTGAGAGACTTATCTCAAAAAATTCATTCACAAAAAGCCCTGGCCTAGTGGTTGAAGCACCTGTCTACAAGTGTGAGGTCCTGCATTCAAACCCCAGTATCACCCCCCACCTCCCAAGAAAGACTTTGTTGGAGGAGACTACTGTTGTGCCTAAGACATGGCGAATAAGCTTACCTCATCATATCCCAAGATTGCTGCATAGAAATTATTTGTCATGAGGATCATGTTCTTCTTCAGGATATAGGAATTAACCTACAAAAACAAATGGTAAAAACAAAAGTATGAAAGAAAGGAAAAAGTAAAATGTGATCTTAGGCTCTTAGTTGTCACAGTCTGTTACTAGAACAAAGAGAAGGGAACTCTTAACAAATCAAACTGCCAGACCATTCCAAATTCCCTCATCTATCAGGATTCTCTATAATTTGCTACCATCTTTTCAGTTTATAAAGCAGTCAGTTTAATGTACTGACCCCTTGACTACATGTCTGGTTTTGTACTAGATCCTATGGAGACAAAGTTAAAAAAAAAAACCAAAAACAGTTAAAAAAAAAACCAAACAAAAACCCACTAATGCCACCTGTTGCCTCAAATCCTGTCCCAAATGTGCTAAGAGATTAGTGAAATTCAGTGCAAATGATCTCTTATTGAGGAGCTGGAAAGAGTGCTCTAGAAGAAAGAACTGAAGTGGACCTGGGAGGAGGAGTCTGACAGTACAGGGAAAGAGAGGAGAGAGGGCATTTAAGACAGGGAACAAGGTACAGAGTAAACAACTGGAAAAAGAATGTTTGGGGTGTTGGGGAGGGTGACTGGGCAGGATCACTGTGAAGATATGTTGGCACCAGACTAGGAGATGTCGTTTTAAGGACTGCTCAGAGAGTTTGTCATGGTGACAGACAAAAAAAAGATGACACTGTCAGAGGTGGGAAGAAAGACTAGCAGCTCTGAAATAAGATTATTTGTGCTAAGAGATTATTTTAGAAATATAATTTCTATGAGTTGTTGAGACCCTGGTAGACTCCTTTCACGGAATGGGCAGGTGCCTTCAGAGCTTGGAGTATGGCTCATCGGATGTCTTCAGTAAGGTAACACTTGGGCCTGCAGGCAGTAACATGCTTAAGAGCAGGGTCCAAGTTGTATTTTTCTCTGGGACCAGCAGAAATCCTGGCATAGCACATAAAATGGAGTAAAGACTCACTTACTTTTTAACCTGACAGGTTTTAGAAACTGCCAAATGTCATACTGGACTTTATACGAACAATAAGACTCATGTTTAATAATCCTCTCCACAACCATGCCCACCGTCACCTCCATTTACTAAATACCTGTCATGGGCCAGCTGCTTTATGGACATCATTTCCTCTAATCCTCAACAGAACTCAGAGAAGTAGTTATGTTATAGTCATTGGTAGGTGACTTCCCAGAGACTCAGGGAGGTCAAGTGATTTATCCTAGGTCACACAACAAGTAAGTGATAAAGGTGGATTAACATTCAGGTCAGTCTGAATCTAAAGTTAATGCCCCTTACACCCATAGGTTCCTGCTTTCAAGAGAATGATTTTACCCTGGGGCTCATCACTGGTCTCATAAGAGCAAAAAGGCAAAAGGATTTGTACTTAAGAGTCAGAAAACCTGGGTTCAAGTCATGGCTCTGCTATGTATGTGTCAATGTGATCTTGAGCAAGTAAATAACAGTCTGAGTTTATTTTCTTGTCTTTTAAATATCTTGCACACAAGGGCTGTTTTCAAGAGCAAATGAGTTAGTATGCATTCATTCATTAACTTAACAACGTAAGCTTGGTAAAGTACAGAGTGCTCTGCAAATGCAAGGAATGAGTAATACCTTTTTGGTTGTTTATATAAAATGAAAACCAGTTCCAAAACTTTATAGTCATGGATACCTTTCAAAAATGAAGAGAGAATTGTGAAGCCTGAAGCTGGAAAATATGAGACTGTGGTAGCTGGGAGTGCAAACCATGACCTTTCTCAACAACTTTCAACCCAGGCCACATTAGCCATCCATTCTTTGCTGTCAAAGCTTTGTGTACTCTTCTCCTGCTAGGTACACAAAATAGGTTAGAGTTCCTTATGTACCTGCCTTTCCCACCAGTCTGGGAACTACTCAAGAGTCATAGGAACCATGACTAATTAACTTGGGCACTCCAATACCTGGTCTAGGGCCTGGCCCAGGGAAGAGGCTAAGACAGGCATGCGAGTAACTGAATCCTTCCTTACAAGGGTAATACTCTAAGCATGTTCTGTACAATGGCACAAGTTGATTTGTTTAGCTTTATTTTTTGTTGCTGAACACCTTCCATGTTTCTGAAATTCCAGAAACTTCTATCACATCATTTTTCAAATGGGCTGGGATGAAAGAAAGTCAGGAAATAGGCCAGAGCTAGAGTACATTACCTTCTATCATGCAAGGATGACACTTTAACCCAGACCTCTTGATACCCACTTTGGGGCTCTCCCTACTCCCATCCAGTAGTTCTCCTAACTGTATAAGAGGACCAGAGTCACAAAAGGACAATGCCAGGAGTGTCAAAACACTAAGGCAGGAGTGCCTGTCCTAGAAAAACAACATTCACTGAATCCATTTGACAGAGCTAGCTTACGTGTGGCATCACACCATTAACTCTGGAGCTAGAAGAGCCCTCAGAGATCACCTGTCTCAATACCCCTAAGGAGTGATGCTCCTAAGAGATAAGAGACCTTTGGTCCAAGGTCACACTTCAAGTTAGTGTCAGAGCCAGGATTAGAATCTGATTTCTATGAGTGTTTTTCCTATTTTACCATCTACAGGGCATTTCCAGAGATCATCAACATATTACTCTGCAAACCTCAGTTCTTGCTTTCCAGCAAAGTCCAAGTATATACAAGCAAATTTTCTCCTCTTGGAATGCACCTGTATCCTTGCAGGCTATTGCCCAAGAAAAATGAAGAGTAAAAGTGGAGCTTCTTATTAGCAAGGCTCCTCTACCTGCTGGTCCTCTAACTTCAGTGACCTGTAAGCTGTCTCTCCACCTCACCTCTAGTTGAGAGATGGCAAACTGCCACAGTGAGGAATGTTTTTCAGATATCATCATCCAGGCTGGATTAGATCATGAAAAGGACCCTTCCTGGAAGAGGGGGAAAACTTGATCACTGCAGACACATGATCTGAAGGCAACAGGTGAGCGTCAGCAGCTTCCTGAACTACTGGACTCAACCCAGTGGGTCCTTCTACCCAGCCTAGAAGCTAAGAGGAGCTGGATATTCCTTCTGGTGCACCCCTATTGGATTTTACTCCCTCACTTAAGCATTGGTTCCCTAGCATGCAGGTTCTGTCTCTCCAGTTCATTCTATACGGAGCACCCTGCCCATGAATACACAGGTGCCCCAGCAGAAGAGAAACTTTTCTTAGATAGTGGGCCATTTGCTTATTAAACTCTTATCCTTTCCATAATGCTTTGCTTTTTATAAAAACCCATTCACACTGCACCACCACATGGGAAAGGTTCCTTTTATATCAGTTACTCATATTTTCCCATTTATTTAAGCTATTAAAATTCATGCAGATATTTTATAAGCCATCAGGATTCAGTGACTGGTATTACTGAATGTTTAATAATAAACTAAACAGAAGAAATCAGAGGGTTAAATGATGACTGCAATTCCTGTAATGACTTAATTAAATTTTTATTGAGTACATAAACTATGATGTCATTTGTAGCCAACCATGGCTCTGCTTTCCTAGCATGTCACAGGGTGGGAGCACTCAATAGGAGACTAGGCTAAATGAGCAGCAGGTCTCCACTGAAATGGGGAGGGGAGTAAGGCTCATGTAACACACTCAATAAATTATCCGTTCATTTTTAAACAAAGTCCATGAGTTATAATATATTTGCCATGCACTTTTTATGACATAATAAAAATGTTACCTTAAGGATTACTTAACACATACTACAAATGTTATAGCAGAGGCAGGCATAAGGGGCAAAGAAAACAAACATGAGCAGGCCAGGGACGGGTCCTGGAGTTTATGTCCCGAGGGAACAGCATAGTATATTAAAAAGGGAATGAAGAAAACAGGGGGGAGGGGAGGGAGAGTTCAGAGTTACTAATAAGTAGATTAATGAATGAGACAACCAACAGAGAACACAAGCAATAAGGAATCTTGCAAGGCGCATGTTTAATTAATGTAGTATTCTCAGAGAGGAATATTAGCTTTAAAGAGATGCCAGTTCATTTCAGGCCAATTCACTGGCCTCTTTCCCCTTTTCACTGTTGGAACTCTTTTAAGGAGGTTATGTGACTGCTTAACAGAAGAACCAGACTATGTGGATGTAGGGACTAATGGTAGATCAAATTTTAACTTCTCCATGAGCTCTAGAAGGTTCTTCAAGATCTGTCCTTTGTCATTTTTTTCTGCCTCACCTCCTCTTGACTCTCTACTTTCATCTTACTCTTCAGTCAAAGTCAACTCTGTGTCATTTCACAGCTGTGTTATGTTCTCTTATGTCTCTTAGCCACACTGCTGTTGGGAATTCCTCTTGTCTCTGTCTATTCATAAAGGGATATTAGCTCCTTATTTCCTAAGCCCAAATTACATTCTCTACAAAGTCTTTACTCTCCCCAGTTTTCAGGTGCCACAAAATTGATCAAATCCAGAAATGGGTCCCATAATTCACTGTTTACCAAGTGCCAAGAATGTGTTAAGAGTTATATGCGTATTAGTTCTCTTAATCTTTCCCAATGACTCTCTCTGAAGAGCACATTGTTATCTCTACTTTATAAAAAGGGAAACTGATGTTTGGGAAAGTTTACATAATAGAAACTAGTAGAATCAAGATTAGAATACAAAGCAGTCCAATTCCAGTGATTTTCTATGTTGCCACAAATACCATAAATAATATGGCATTCCTTCATGTGCCCCATACCTCAGGTTATCTGCAGAGGCAGAACTAAAAAGTGCTAATGTGGTCATGAGTAAACACAACTCAGAGACTCCCATTCAAGTGGGAGCTAGAGATAAGAGCCACCAGATGGGTCATAAGACACTCCTGTGTCTAAGAACCACTGCTGGGAAAACAGGGATAATGGTGGTAATAATAGTGAGGGGAGGGAGAATGGAAAATGTCTCATGGGAGGAAAATAAGAACTGATGAACCTGAAGGTAAGAATAAGCTTTTAGCCAGGTGCTAGTAGCTCACACCTGTAATCCTAGCTACTCAGGAGGCAGAGATCAGGAGGATTGCAGTTTGAAGCCAGCC